GTGGATTATGTCCCTCTAATATAATTTAATCAATTCATGACATGTATCACTTTATTCTATGAAACCAATTAGTTTGAGCATATCTTCAGTACTTTCAAATAATTCTTTTCTTTTCTTTTTTCACTTGTCAAACCCCAAAAAATGTCAGATGGTGCACCTGTTTGTGCAAATGAACAGACAAAAAAATGCTATTAAAAATCATATTTTAATGATAAGACATTCAAAATTAAATATGATACGATTATTTCAAGTTTTAAATTTCTCAGATGAACCTGATTTCACAAATAAAAGTAGTTTTAATGCTGTTGATATAATTCAAAAACATTTGTCCTACAATTTGTATGTTCTCAAGTGTCAGGGTGGCACAACCATAAACATAGGACTTTTATTTATTAGTACATTGATATTAACAATAAACAGGATGTTGTATTAGCCATTAGCCTCTCTGGCTGAGTGAAAAGGTTTGTAGATCTCTCAAATATGGATAAAAATAGTTACTTTTCACTCCTAGGTGGACTGGTACACTTTTCATGTCAGGTGGTACAACCAATATAAAACTAGGAAAATGTTATTTAATCATAAAACTTTGTTTTGTACTTAAAAATCAAAAGTAAGAACTTGCTAGCAAGATTGTAAGCTAATACAGGTGTCCAAGTAGAAGCCTGTTCAATTTGAAATGAGTTGCAAACGTCAGGTGGTGCAACCAGTAAGTCAGGTGGCACAACAGCAGGAAATGTCATTATATGATATAATTAATGTGATTTAAAGAGCTAATATCATCTATTACATATCTAAAATGATTATTAGTTTTAAGTTGATAATGTTACCCAAATTAAAACCTTTTTCGTGACATTTTTTTAAATTCTAGATGCCACTATCAGGTAAAGAAAAATCAGCACAGCACAGGAAGAGAATTGAAAATGATCCAGCTTTAAGAGAAGCCTATCTTGCAAAAAGAAAAGAAAGGTAATACATCTTGATCAACCATAGTGCGAGTAGAAGAAGCCGTCCCCAAAGTTGTGCCCTCTGTAAAGAGAACTTTAGCGATTCACCAGGTCATCTCCAGTCAACCTGGCAAAATCAGGCACAGGGAGATTTATTGTTGGTCAGTCACAATCCATTGAAGTTTATCAATCAGTAGTGTGTTCCAGTTATGTGCCAAGCTATCTCATGTGATGTATCCTGACTTTGATCAACTTACTGTTTTTATTTCAATAGACTGTTGACTAAAACACAGTTTGAATTGCATTTGAAATAAAATTTAACATTTAATTATTTAGCAGATTTTCTGTCATCTTGTCCTGTCCTGACAGATGTTGTCAGGTGGCAAAACTGATAATAGTCAGGTGGTGCCACCAGGTAAAATATTCCTTTAAACCAATAAATAATAGGATAGAATAAAGAAATGTTTGATAACTATGATGTAAAAAGGTATTGTACTGAATGCATTAATTTGTGTTTTATATAATACTTTTTATGTCTTTAAATATAAAGTCAGGTGCAATAATAAGCCACTAGAATGAAGTATTCTTAAATATTTTAAATACAAAACACAACCACAAAATAATGATGTGTTAAGCACTGTAGACACTCTAAGGGATACTTGCCAAAGATTTCACTTAGAATAAATAATAGGAAAATACTTTAAAAAAACCAAAAACATTCGGTTGCACCACCTGACATTTTTTGGGCAGTAAAGTTAAAAAGAGTTAAAAAAAAATAAAACCTAATTTAAACACTTTAAAACAAGACATGTTTAAACACATTGTTGTGGAAAAAATATGCATTACATCCATTTTAAAAAGTCTTTTAAAAATTCCTTTTTAGAAGCTCTGTTTGTCAGTGACCCATACACATGCTGAGTATCATGTTTATATGAAATTTAAAATTTCAGAGCTCTAATTTGCAGCTCACATATTAGAAAAAGTGGCTGTACTTAGCATGTACTCAGTAGTAACATAAATGAATTAATTTATACTATTGATAGTTTTCTAATAGCATTCTGCTTCTGCATCATTTGCAGCTCTATTTACCTTAAAAAATATGTTGCAGCTGTTCCTTTTAACTGAAGTAGGCTGTACACTGACCATGCATCAAAAGCCTCCGTCTATAGGAATGTCCACAGAGCCTGGTGAAGAAAACCTCAGTTATCAAAGAAGGTATAACCTAATGTCATGATACCCGTTATCGCTGCTTTGGGTTTTAGGTTTCGCTTAGCCAGCTAACACTAAGAAAGCTTGGCTATGTTAAACTTGCTTGTAGTACACCACTTAGGTTGTTCATGACTAAAGCAGGAGTTTCTCAAATATGGAAGCTTAACAAACACGGTGGCTGTCTATAGTTTTACTTTTATTCAAATATTATTCTGATGTGTGTCAACCAGTTCTCCTCATCAACCAATATACTGGCAAATTAGATCTTAGGTTGCGAGTCTGCACTTCGCCACACATTCCAAAGAATAGAACCAAACAGGCAAAGAAAAAAAGAAAACAGTTTGTAGTCATATCATAGACGTGAAGGGCCTTTTATAAGTTCTCACATATGGTGTCGATAGCTGTCTTCAGTCAGATGCAGGAGAACTTCAACTTCAAAACTGTCAAAGTTAGGATCTAAATCAAGTGAAAACCTAAATGCACCAAAAACACTCTAGTGCCAGCTGTCAATACTTCATAGGTTGTGATGTGACTTTCCAAATGTAATTTTGGGCCAAATTATTGCTCTAATCCTTTTTTTTTCTTTTTTTTTTTGAATATAAGACCTGAAACAAACTGGGAAGTGTTGATTAGCCATAATCAACGTATCCTCCATCCTTCACTCATCAGACAGTTTATCTATTCATCTTGAAGCAATATCAGAACGTAACAACATGCAAGACTGATTAGCTGTTGATTAACCAGTGACAGTAAAATGTTCAAGTCTTGCCAACTTTCTTCAACCAAATATTTGTTGAACATTCAGCACCACAGTCTCCTTTATCAGTGAGCTCATGCCGGTTACTGTAGGCCAACTCTGCAGCAAGCTGAGTGAAAATATCAACATTATATATATAAAATCTCAATGATACCACATTTAACCTCCAACCATCACTTCATTCTGTGATAATTCAGTTTACTGCATCATCACATTGTAAGCGTTCAAGCTTTTTTAGTGCTCAGCAGTTTTATAGTTTTTTCTTTAGATGAGGGAACAATTAATGAATTTTATGTTTAAAAAAATATTTTTATTGTGATGCTTGTCTTTGGTAACATTTGTTTTAGTTCTTTCGTGAAGTTTTTATCTAAATTCATTGCGTAAATGCATGTAACAGTCAAAACACCAGATTTGTCTTCAGCCAAAGCCCAAGAATGATACCAGTTAAACTGAAAACATAATGTTTGGCCAATTAAAGGTAGAGTAAGTCATTGCTGAGAAAATGTGTAAATATTTGAACTCCATTTTTGTCTGTTAGCAAAGAAGCAAAGCCTGGTGATGTGTAAACCAACTTTTTGCTCAACATTTCCCCTTAAAAAAAAAGGGAAAGGAGGAGAGGTTGCTGCCGTCTACCCGCTCTATGAGCTGCTGCTACACAAAAACCATCTACTGGTGTTTGTTAAAGATCCCGGAAATACACTTTATTCTCCAGAAAATGTGCAACAATTCACTGAGGAGTCCTGTGACCTCACACATCTTCCACCTGCTGTTGTTTGTTGCAATAGTTTCTCATTTTGCAGAGACACTAGATATTTTCTGTCAGGAAATATTTATGGAATTGGACAAAAAGTGTATTGAATTAGTATGGATTGCTCTACTTTTAAACTATAATGAACGGTCCATATGTAAGATCCGATTACAACAAAAGTGTGAGCACCTTTCATTACTGAGATTCCATTCTACTTTTTGATGACGGATTGGATCCTTCTGGACAGGGGTGATAGTGTGCAAAGATATTCTGCTAGTATATATATAAATTCTTATTCTATACTGTAAAACAACAAATAAGGGGGCCGCCATCATTTGGCGAATAAACGATTCGTGTTGTCGCCACAAGATGGCGGCCGCTCATTGCTCATTGAGAAATCCGTTTTTCACCGAAGAAGAGCATGCAGGAACTGGACTGTACGCTGCTCCCGTTACAGTATTTGTAGCAGTGTTTTGGTTCTATCTATGTTTACGAAAGGACAGTTTGGGCTGCCGTGTAATTTATATGTAAATATACACGTCCTAAAGCGATAAGAGGGATGCGTAATGTGCACTTTTTGGCGAGCAGTGTTGAAATAGCCTCATTGTTTGGTGAGTTTTTTGCGAATTCCTCGTGTGCAGATGTTTCAACTAGCTAGATGTGCTAACAACAATGCTAATACTTCCCTTTTCGCCCAATTACAGCCATTTTTGCTGTGCTTCACTAGAAAGCAAAATTCATCCCTATAATGTCAATTCCTCTTCTTCTCACTCTTTCCATTCCTTCCTGCTCCTTACATATGCGGATATTTTGTTGTGAAAACGGGCATGGACACAAACTATCACCTCCCACTACGGCGAAATCAGCGTAAGAGGACCCCTAAGCGACCCATCCTTTATTTACCTGCACCTCTTAATGCTGTGTAAGGGTGGTAGACAATTAGTTAGGCATTTCAGGTAAAGCCTTAAGGCTGTCAGAAACTCACTTGCGAAACTGTGACGCCTTTATTCTCCTGTGTCGATGAAAATACTACGACACTTGTGCTCGTCAAATCTGTACAGTATCCAATTACTATATATCCCAGAGAGGTTTGAGGCTTCAAACCCTAAACCCCCTGCTGTAAGGACACAGTGCTAACCACTGCTTTACAGTGCTGCTCAACAATAGACCAAGTCTGGAAATGATATTAGGACTGGTCACATCTGGACTATCCCTAAGAACCCAGGTATTTTATAAACACAGGTCAGATCTGTAAAACCTTGAACCCATTTGTGAAAATGCAGTATTGAGACATTTAACTGCTCTTTAAAAAAACAAACAAACAAAAAAGAAGGTTTATGCCAAAACTATGTGTACCCAGCTCCAGATCTGAAATCACTACACTTTGACTGGTCAAATTTGCACTAGATTATCCCAGAGCAGGTAAAGATTAGTTAACACTGAATTTCAGGTTTGTAAAACATTTATTCTTCTCTTGAAAATGCAAAACTGAACATTTTACTGCTTTTTACAGTATTAGTATTTAGACTGATCCAATAAAGACTAAATTATTTCAGAGAGGCTAAGGAATCTTTAAAATACCGTTTAGGCTTTTGTAAACACTGCACTCTGATTTAAGCTGAGGGTATAAGCCTGCCATTGGTCACTCATTTTAGTTGTCTTTCTCCTCTCCATGTAAGTAAAGCAATTTTGCAATTTTTTCTATGTAGTTATCAATTTTAATCACAGCGCTTGTCCCTCGTGTGCAAATGTTTCACATACACACACAAAAAAAATCCACCTGTCGCTAGTTCTAGTTTGAGGGGGCACTGAAGCGGAATCCTTCGCTTATCTCTGCCCATAAAGATCATGATTGGTTGAAAGAAATGCAAACAAGCCAGAGCACGTTTTCCCCCTATAGCAGAATGATACTAAAGTACAGCCAGACCATGACTTACTACAGAATAGGCTGGCTCAGTGAGACTAGGAACCCCATAACTGCCAAAGTAGAAGCTGCAATTCAGAAGCGAACTTCAGTGTCCTCTGTACCCTGAAGAAGTCATCGTTTATGAAAAGAGAGTTTCATAGGCTGGTCTTAGTTGATGTTTTTGGTTGAGCTATACTAGAAATGTTGTTGAACACAGATTGGAGATCCTGTGTTTGTGTGTGTTTGTGTATGCTACAAGGTCTTTTCTTCACTGTGTTTGCGTGCTGAATAAATCAGATAAATGAGGTCATATCCTTTTTTTCCCCTTATAGGTTTGTCATTATTTGCTGAAATATCTTGAGGACACCAGTCAGGGAACCAACATCAGTCCTGCAACAGTATGTGAAAATAACTGCATTTTGCATGTTTGTTTAAAAAAACCAAAAAAACATTTAGTAGTCTTTCATAGAGATCTCTATCTGTACATGAACTGTTTTGCATTTTTCTACATGCTGAAATTTTTAAAGCTCATCAAGTGAAGTTGTGCTACACAACATTGTAGTACCTGGTGCAAATTTTTAGGGTGGTAATATGACAGTGTTGGAATCTATCCCAGCTGACTTAGGGCAAAGGCAGGGGACACCCTGGACAGGTCACCAGTCTATCACAGGGCCACACTTAGAGACAGACAACCAAGCACACTCACATTCACACCTACGTACAATTTAGAATCACCAATTAACCTCAACATGTTTTTGGACCATGTGTGAGGAAGCCGGAGAACCCGGAGAGAACCCACGCTGCACGGGGAGAACGTGCAAACTCCACGCAGAAAGATCCTGGGTGTCCTCACAGGGACGTGAACCGGCGACCTTTTTGCTGTGAGGCAGCAGTGCTAACCACTGAACCACCTTGTGTTCTTCCCTTGGATAATATATTGACATTGTCACTATCACCTTAAATTGCTCTTGGAGGACAAATAAAGTTTTTTTTAATTGAATTAAATTGTTTGAAAAGTATCCTGCCTTTATTTTGGCTACATGTGGAACAATGTTTGCTCTCGTAATCCTGTCTATTCAGTCCTTATCCAGTTCATGTCAGATCTGTTTGAATAGATTTTGTTGTGTATTATGCAAAGTGTAAAAGTTACTGTATAGCTTTACACTTAATTCTAACCAGCACACACTCTTTCTTTCTTCTTCTTCTCTTCTTTTAGTGGCATATCGACATGGTCGAAAAAGTATTAGAGAGGCCTATGAGGACCACTTCACAGCAGTGGATGCAAGAGAGGTACGGAAAGAAGTGGTTTGCATGGCCAAATAGTGTATTACGTCGTCTAAACCCACTAGGTAATAAATGTAAAGAATTGCTTTGTTAAAGTGGCAATACCTATTAGGGCCTGACCAAATTATCGGCTGGCCGATTAAATCGGGTGATCATAGCCCTTTTCAAAATAATCATCACTGACCGGAGTTTTGCTGATTAAACTCTGATATATTCTTAATTTCTCATAAAACAGTAAATGCTGTTAAGTGCCACAGTCGTATTCATACATTCATTTTGTGCAACTAGATTTTGTAAAATGACAAATATTCTCCAAGGCAAAAGTGTGTAAAAACACTTCAGAAACACCACGAAAAGCCCCGTTTTTGCTGCTGCTTTTTGTAAACAAGTCAAACTTGGTTCAAGGAGATAAGGAAGAGTTGAGATAGCTTACAACTTTACAGCGGTAAGATCACTCACTCTGCCGCAAATTCTGAAACCAAAACAGCGCATAGAGCCTCACTCTGACGGTTTTTCAGAGAACTACAGAAAACAACTTCTTATCCAACTTTTTGACTAACTTATTTAACTTAGATTTTTATTAACTTGTTCTCATCAACTTTAAAGACAGCACAGTCTTTTAGAGTACAGAATGACCATTCATCACTCCGTCAGCTGCGTGTTGAGGTGCATTAAGGAGGAGCGATGGGAATGCAGAGGGGAGAGACAGACAGACAGACAGACAGACAGACAGACAGACAGAGGGGGTTTATTCAGTGCAGGCTGAAAAGTTAAAGTAATCAACAATACTGTCTGTCTTCAGCAACCGTCATGATGTCATGTCAATCTTAGTTTTACTTTGTTAGAAAACACTATAAGGTGACCCAGGGTGTAACAGCAACTCACTGTGTGTGTTGTTATGGAGTAACATTAGTGTCGGACTATTTGTGACCATTATATATGCAAAATGCAACTCTGTCAAAGATGACATGTTTAAGAAATGCGTCTCTGTTTTTTATTTTGGTTCATATGAGTCATGACTTCATGGCAAAAGAATAATGGTGTAGCGAAAATGGGATTTAAGTGCGTCAGAGGGCTGCATAAATAATGTTTTGCCAGTAACTTAACTCATTATGTTGCTTATATACAGCATACACCTATGGCCTAAATCTAAAGATAAATTCATCAGTACAGCTGGAAGCTATATTCATGCATGCTCCATAGAAAGAAAAATGCACAATACAAATTTAAAATAAAATACCCCACATTACAGATATTTGTTTGGAAGACTTTTTTTTGGGTTTTTTTTTAACAGACGCATGTCATGTTTAATGCTTTGTTGCATGTTTTGGTACAGCTCTATTATACTAAAGGACAAAGTATTGTAAAACAGTAAAATGTTCTGCCTGTAATTCATATCTTTGTTGTTGTAAGCATGAAGGGACCAAAAAAGAAGCTATTTTATTCATTATATATTTTTTAAATTAATCGGCCGATTAATTGGTTATCAGAATTTTCTTTTTTTTTTTTTTTGCCAGATATCGGCATCGGCATCGGCCTCAAAAAATCCATATCGGTCGGGCCCAAATACCAACAGCAATAACCTTTAATTACATTTTTTAATCGGATCTGCATTTGGTGTATCTTGAACATTACATCCCAGAGATCCTAAACAGCTTCTGACACATTTTCAGATTGCATTTTCTTTTTCAGGCTGCACGGTGGCTCCAGGGTTAGCACCATCGCCTCACAGCTACAAGATCCCCGGTTTGCGTCCCGCCTGGGATCTTTCTGTGTGGAGTTTGCATGTTCTCCCTGTGCAGTGAGGGCTCCTCCTGCACTCCAAAACCATGCTGAGGTTAATTGGTGATTCTAAATTGTCTGTAGGTGTGAATGTGAGTGTGCTTGGTTGTCTCTCTGTGTAGCCCTGCAATAGACTGTCGCCCTGTGTCAGCTGGGATAGACTCCAGCCCCCCGCGACCGCAGTGAGGATTAAGCGGTGAATAGATAATGGATGGATGGATTTTCTTTTTACTTTCAGTTCATACTACAGCTGCCCTTGCAGTATGCACTGTTTCATGCAGTGTGCATACAACAAGGATCCATCCATCCATCCATTATCTATACACCACTTAATCCTCACTAGGGAGGAGCCTATCCCAACCGACTTAGGGTGAAGGCAGGGGACACCCTGGACAGGTCGGCAGTCTATCACAGGGCTACACAAGCACACTCACATTCACACCTACAGACAATTTAGAATCAGTTAACCTCAACATGTTTTCGGACTGTGAGAGGAAGCCGGTCTCTCCGCTGGAGAACCCAGAGAGAACCCACGCTGCACAGGGAGAACATGTAAACTCCACGCAGAAAGATCCTTGGTGTCCTCACCGGGACACGAACCAGGGATCTTCTAGCTGTGAGGCGACGGTGCTAACCACCGATCCACCTTGCAGCCCGCAAAGTAAAACCCCAGCGGCAAAATGATAAGATTGGAGAGCAAAATAATTTTTTAACCAGTTTTGTTCATTGGGGCCTCATGTCCTAGTATTCAAAGCCAAGAGACTTTTTAAAAATCAGATGGTGAGAAATAACAAAGATTTCTGTGAAATAACTCAGACCTGTTTCCTGTACTGTGCGTGGACTGTTCATGCTTAATGTGGAGCCAGAAAAACTCCTGACTATGTTCCCTCATTAGGCAATAGATAGTGACTCAACAACTTGTATTTAAATAAAAATCTTTGATATTGCCACTTTAACAGTCCGTTATATTGCAATGCTGTGCTGTTAACAATCACAGTGTTTTGATTAACTTTGAATAGTCATGGTAGGTATTCATTGAAGTAGTGTTTCTTGTTTGTCAGTGTTGTATTCACTCCTCGTGACACTCAAGCAATGGAACATTATGTCATCTACTCTGTAGGCGTTATTCTTTTATTACCTTTTTGCTCAGCACTTAAATGTCAGCTGTGATATTTTTGCATTTCAGGTGACAGTTCATCGAGTTGTCAATATTGTTGAAAAGAGGAACCCAATGCCACGGCAGGGGTTGGAATTTGATAGAGGATTTAATGATGACTCGTGGTATGGCAGTCCTCGAAATTACCAGGACAGTTACCAGGACAGTTACCCGGACAGCTACCAGGACAATTACCAGGACAGTTACCAGGAAGCAAGAAGTCACAGCGAAGGGAGCTATCCTCCCAGTGATCGTCGATACTTTGATGATAGCGCCAACTTTGGGAGTTATCGCAGACATTCCTCACCACCACGAAATGTAAGGCAGGCTTTGCATGCATTGTTTATATGCTATTTTTTTGTGTGTTATAGGTTTGAAAATAAGTATTTTATTTTTTTTTAAATCTAAAGAAAGTAGTGCCAGTGTATAGTCAGATAATGTCAAATCATGACTGAATGGCATACCAGTGTGTCTGACTGTCAGAAGGTTACCAGCTACATGGCATACTACTTTTATTATTTAAAGTTTTTATAGGCCTTTTGCATTTCTCAATAATACCAACAGCAATAAAATAATCCACTTTTGTAGCATTGTTTAGTTAATGTTGTTGAAACTGCGATTTTTGCTTTTAGGGGGCTTCGTACTCCCAACAGAGCTATGGAAGAGATGATCTGAGGCATCAGTTAGTCTCAAGGTAGTATGTTAATCCTTCTATCTCAAAGATTCTGAATCTGTTATCAATTTCTTCTTTTTTCCCTCTGATTATGTCGGTTTAAAGTTTCTTCACTGAATTCTTTGTGTAATGTATCAAATTGACCACTAGGTGTAGGCAGAGTTCTGTCTTTCGAAAAGCATAAACATGAGCGAGATTGTCCGTGTAATATATAATAGTGGAATATCAAGAAACACTATGTTACAAAAGTGTAAAATCACTTTCCTTTTCTGTTCTTTCCACTAACATTCAACTATAGTAAAGAACTTAAAATTTACAATTAAAAATTGTTGCTGTGGCAGAAAAGTGTAGCTTCAGAAAATTTATTTAAATACCATATTTCAGGCATTAATTGAAATTATAATTTAAATTTAAATCCACACAGTGCAGCTCACAGAACAACTACATCAACAGATACACTTCTTTCGTTGGCCACTTCAACATACCACCAGTTTACGGGGCCCAGGCCCCCCTTTCCAGGAGTCGTACCCGGCTAAAGAAGGGGACAAAGGGCACTAGTGTCTACTCACTCAGCCAAATAACCCCACCCCCACCTTGAGAGGAAAAACAGCTGGACCACTTCTTCCTCAGTCAAACACTCACACACACGTCTCAGATACTCAGAGCAGCAAATGTCTCATGTCTTTTTGGTCCTTTCTGCATTAAATTAATAGTTAGGTGCATGTTGTTCAAATTATTAAAAGTGCCTAAAGACATACTTACTATTTAGGGTCACATAACCAGTTTTATATTACCTACTGCCTCAGTTTTTTTTGAGGCACACTCCTGTGGATTTATCATGAAACCTTGACTGGTGGCAGAATACATAGATGCAGCATTGAACAACAACTTTAAAGACTCTTGAACCTGTGTTGATCTCAACTAATATTAAGACAAATGTTAAAATTTGGCAAATAACCTGTTCAGTATGATTTTATCAACTGCTCAAAACTACATTCATGTGGGATTTCCACTAGTAAGCACTTCATTCAAACTCTGCAACACATCACTGACTTAAAGAAAAGGATGAAATATTTTTGAGTCTTTCTTTAAACAGTTGCCAAATGCCCACACATACACTGAAATAGTTTTCGCCCTGCTCCTGACCATTAAATGGTCTCTTCCTAATATTGTTTGTGTAAAATGCATTCTAAAACTAAACCTGATGTTAAAATGATGGTCAGTCAATCAGATGAAAAGAAAGTTTCCCCAAGTTACAGTCAAACTAGCACCAGATTCACTCTCTGCAGGACAGTCAAAGAAGGAATTTAGTACTGAATGACTGTTAATTTTGACGACGCCAACTTGACATGAATGCTTTAGATAACTATATTAACTTCTGAAAAGCTGTGGAATTTTTCTTTATTCAGAATGAGAACTATTTAGTTTTAAACCATCATCACTTACACAGGGACCGTGCAATGGTAAATATGAACAAGTGAAGGACTACAATGACCATAAACTTATCTCTACAAAAGAGCAACACGGTATTGTTTTAGGACAGAGCTGAAAGGTATCATCCTCTTCTTTCATGGCACCCATGTAATATTGATCTATAATCACAACAGAATAACTGCAGTGTTTTGGTTTAGAGTAAGTTTATGCTTCAGCTTCTCCTGTCAAGAGGCAGCAGATTGCTTCTGCCCTCATCATTTTGCATCGACCACAGGCCGAAAAATAGGATTCTTTTTTGCAGAAGATACTTTTAGTAGCCACAATGACAAATGAACGACACTCTTATTGAACAGTTAGCTTTATACAGTAATCAAAGAAAGCAAATGAAGTAAAGATGCATGAATAACTAGTTCTTATTAGCTTGTTTTATCTCTAGGGTCTTATGGTTACTTTAGACTTCGTGATTCACCAAATTAGCGATTGACTGAACATCAAGAATTCTCCCTTTAAATGTCTGAAGTCACACCTTTTTTTTTTTTTTCTACGCTTATAATTTGAACATTAGTTTTGTACCACAGCAATGGAAGTTTGGTGTTTAGCAAATGGCAGGCTAAGTCTTGGCTACTTCAAACAGACTGTGAGTCGTAAAAGTTTGAGGCCTTGTTACAACGGCTTTTTGTTTGAGATGTGGCTTGAGTTCAAGCAGAGGTCATGTCAGCCAGGTGCCTTTGGGTTGCTTATACCTCTACACCTAAAAGATGTTGTCCAGACACAAGCTTTGAGTCTGGAAAATTATGGACACGGGATGTAATGAATAATGATGATGTAACAGTTGTGCTAGGTGTATAAAAAAAAAGTCTACTTTCATTACATGGTTAAATAACAGACAGTTTTTTTCTAACTTCAGCTCCATGTTTAGGGGTAACCATGGCTCTGCATACAATTGAAGACAGATCATAGTGAAGAGAGACCAAAATTGGTCCGTCTGTCAGCCAACTGCTGGTTGTGCCAAAGTGGAAGATTGCCTCCGTTCCACAAATTGATCAGTGTGCCACAGTGCCCCACTGATTTTGAGTTTAAGTCTTTGTGGTTTGTCTTCTGCTTATTCTGTTTCCATTACCAATATGAAGGTGCTCATTGATGAATATCCAGCACTTTTTGTTCCTAAACCATTAATGATGAAAAGAATACATTCTGAACATGCATTTAGTATGTTCTAGTAGATTTATTTCTAATGTTTTGTTGTAATGTGAGTTCCTTATTAAACTGCTTGATTTGCCAGTGTTTTTGACTATGCTTCTTCTCGTCTTCAGGAGCAGTGGTAGACCTCACCATTTCCGCAAAAGAGGTCGAGGGTCAGGTCCTCCTCAAAGGACAGAACAGGACAGAAAAGCCAAGTCAGTGCCGTCACATTCATATTGTTTTCTGGTGTGCATTTAACAAACTCCTTCATAAGCACACAGGTCTTAAAAACAGGTCCAGTTTTTTATTTAAGAGGTGAAGTAATAAGTAAGTTTCCAAGCAGACTTAGTCTTCACAGAGCATTTAAGATTTAACTGAGGGTATTACGTTGGCATTAAAACACAAATTATTTTCGACTCTTAACGGTATTCAAAGTAGGTGGATAAAATGTGCATTTTGTTTCATAATACTATTAAAAAAACTGTTGTTGTTAAAAGTGTTTTTTCTGTTGTTATCTTTCTGGTTAGGAAAGTTTTAAAAAAGCATGAAAACTGAGCCTGTTACTCAAGTGAAGTGAAATAACTTGCTCACACACAAAAAAAGCAGAAGTAATGCTAAAGTTCTCAGCAGATCTACAGTAATTCAGTTTTTAAGACCTTGCTATACAGTATATCCTCATGACAAGTAAGGTGCCCCTTGTTTTTAGTGCAGCACACTTTTAAGAATGCATTCCTACCTTCAGCTGTTGTGGTACAAGGCAAGGTTCTTATGGATGGAAATTGTTGATTGTTTCTTCCTATCATTGTTTCCATAGAGAAGATCGTGATGACTATAGGACCTGTCAGCCTCTTGTTATCACACGGGACCGCTCTCCTGGAAGGAGGGAAGCCCAGCCGTCTGTAACTGTTCGCTCTGGATCAAATAGCAACAACAGGAACTTCTCTCCTGACAAGGACAAAAGCTATTCCTATCAGCAGTCACAGCAAAAGCGTAAGTATTAAGGGGGCTGTAATATTCAAAATCCAGTTTTTCATTGTTTTTGGCACAGCTGCGTGTCCTATTTGTGTTTATGTTGTCCCACAAAATATGACAAAAGTGCATCCCCTCATTTATTGCCATTTTCCCCCATAGATTAGAAAGTGTTTTCTGAACTAAGTTTGCTCCTCTCTGCTAATCCCAATCTCCCCTAAAGCCTTAACACTTACTTACCAGCATCACAGCTGTAGTGCTAGAGTGTGTGAGTTTGTGAGGGCTAGATATAGTTTCTAAAGAAAGAATGGGACACATTGTGACAGCACACATCTCCTATGTAGAAGTTTGACTGAAAATACCAACAACTATAGTAAACAACTATAATATACTATAATAAATAACGAACAACAGCGAGCAGTCAGATGCTGTCACTTACAGATAAGTTTCAGGGCACATTTTTATCTCCATACCAATTATGCTTGGTTTGTACACATTTTACGGAGGGCAGGATAACGTCACCAATTTCACCATAAACTATGGGTAAGTCCCTTTAGGAAAGTCTGCAGATATGTGAACTAACAGAAGGGGCACTCAACAGCGTTACAAAGTCTGCATCAGAGCCCTCAGAATGGTTTAACAGTAGGTGAGGCCCACACACAATTAGCGGAAACACACCTCAAAATTTGTGAGTGTGGAGATTGGGATTTGGTCTCTCAACAGAGTAGATGCAGAGAGAGGTTTGCCTGCAGCCCTCTTCTTGAAATGGACGTGGGCAGTAACAGCTTAGTTGGATGTAAAGCTACACATACTGAACAGTCTGTTTGGAACAGAGCTGAAACCAGGATGCCCTGGTAACTTACTTGGTTGAGTCGGTGCTGCCATACAGCAAGACCAGAGTCCCCCTCTTCTTTGCTGTCTCTCCTTGACTATCTGTGAAATAACGGCAATTTTATTGAAATAACAATGTGTGCACTATTTTCAGTTGAAGCCTGAAATACACATTCTAGGGCAGTGCTTCTCAAATAGTGGGGCATACGATGCCGGGAGGTGTGTCTGACCCCGGGGCAGTGTTAATTTTGTCAGTGACAACTTAAACAAAAACTTTTCGTTGATTATCAGTCAAAACTTATAAACTTGGGCAAATTAGTGTAGAACGCACTTTCCACTGTTTTCCAACAAATGTTTGGTCGCTCACCTGTCAGAGGAGCTGCACTGCAAACACCTGGTAGCATCTACCGGAGCAGCGTGGGAGGCGTTTAGGGAACATCAGTAAAATGTACCATCTACAGTAGCAGCATGTGAGGCGTTTAGGGAACATTGGTAAAATGTACCATCTACAGTAGCAGCATGTGAGGCGTTTAGGGAACATCGGTAAAATGCACCACCTGTGGGCACTTTCAGCAATTGTTTGGTCTGTGTCCAGTTAATGACTGATATTAGAAGAGGATTGGTGACAAAATAAATATATTTTAATGTTAAAACATTTTACAAATGTCTATTCTTGTATCCCTGAAGATTATTGCAACATCACTAAGTTATGCAGAAACAACTATTCATCAGCTGCATGGTGCATTAACAGCTGTGGCAATGCTGAACCAAAATAAGGGAGCAGGGCAACCAAATCATTAGCTGGTGCGACCAATGAAGAAAGTTGGTAGCACCAGTGCTACCAAGTTAGTCTGGAGAGAACAGAATCGCAAGAAACCACATTCAACAGCTGAGGATCTCCTACGCCCCACTGCTGTTGATATGGTGTCAACAATGACTGATGAGACTACCACCACAAAATTGAAGGCTATCCCCCCTGTTGCTTTTACTAATCACTGAGCAAGTTGTTGCTGCATTATTTGACTGCTCATGATATTTAATTTCAGCAAATTTAAACTGGCTAATTTCATGACTATTTAAGGCGAGGGGGGGGCGCGAAAGATTTTTGTCCTCCGAAGTGGGGCCTGACAGAAAGCAGTTGAGAACCACGAGGGACACGTGAGACTTGCAGTAACTTGTTAAAAAGGAGTATAATATTGGACCTTTATGTCTTCTGTGGTTGTCAAACAGCTCAAGTTAATAGATTCAAAAAAGCTTCGCTTTCAATTTGGCATTGTGAGAATTGTGGTTAAATATTCTATAGAATATGTACTGTGCTCTTAACCTTACCAGAGGCAGTACTGAGCAGTGTTCGGTTCATGTAAATGCTGCATAACCTTAATTCATTATGCAGATATTAGATTTTTCCCACTTGGATTTGTAATTGAAATCTTTCTCAGATACCTTAGCAATCATTCTCCTTAAAGCAAATTTAACACTCTGAGAGAGGCAGTAGAAAAGTCTTGTCTCCATTTCTGGATCCAACATGAGCTGCTTAGCTTTGTTTTCCACCTTTGATTTTAAATCAGTTGCACAGACCTAGCAGTAATGGACTTGACCGTCTGACCTGGCACTCCAGTGGATAGTGTGACATCTAAAAACAAAGCACTACTCTGAACTACCTGACGCTCTGTGACACATACAGCATAAAAAGAAGCTAAAAGCGAATAGATAATGGGAATGATCCAGGCAAGTTGTGAATTTATTCTGATCGATACTATGGTTGTTTGTGCAGCTGTTGCACCCTGTGTAGTCATGATAGAAATCAGTTTCCCATTTTACAAAGACACATGCATCATTGAAATGTCGAAAGGAATTAAGCCTTTCCAGGTAAAGCATCTGTTTTCAGAGGTGGTGTGTAATGTGAGGGGTCAGGGTGTGCTGAAACATGTTAGGATGTTAATTAAGCTAACACCACACACTTTTAGAGGCTGGGAAAAAGAATGCCCTCAGTTTATTGGGGTGCTTTGGCTTTGGATTCAGAACCTGACCTTTTCCTTAGTGCTTAACGATGTTGTCAGAATCACTTTGGCTCTGTCATTTTACATACTTTCTTTTGTGAGTTTTATAGCCTTCAGAACTTTAATTAACAATGCTGAGCTAATTAAATTTGTGGATTTGCTTTTACAAAGCTTGTTTTAAAGCAATTTGACATGAGCAATGCTATTAGTTTGAGGGGAGACATGTGGACAGTCATTTGTACAGTCCTTTGATTTCTAAGATGTATAAACATATTTTTGTTGAAAGCTTAGCTCCATCTTGTACCACTCTTTGAAAATGCAATAAAACAGTGAGAAAACAGTTGTACCTCCCACCTTCACACCCATCTGGGATACTAATTAGGGCAGCACAGCAAAGTACACAAAAAAAGGGTGCTTTGTGATGAGGGCATCTCTCCCAAGCTTTGTTATGCAGACAGAATTCCTTGTACAATGTTTTTTTTTTTTCTGTCTTCATCTCTAACTGGTTGGCTTTGCAAATGTATGGCTGGTTAAACACTACACATCTCTTAAAGTGTAGCACAAGACTGTTGACCAAAAGCTTTTTATAATAGTCCAAAGCAGGACGAGTAGCCATGTTCAAGACATGATGGAGTTACTCCAGGAGAAATCTAGCCGGGGAAATTTAGTTTGTTGAATCCTCTCCTCCAGTTATAGAAACCAAGTGTCCTATTCACACAATGTGAGAATACCCATGATCCTCAGCTGAGCTTGGCTGTGTTGGATATTTCCCAAAGAATAAGTCACCCCAACTGTAGAGAAGATAGGGTTTAAAGTGTGCTACACACACATACATGCAAATGCATGCACTCACACACAACTTTCCATGATTGTAGCTAGTGGGCTATGACAGTTTTTTCAAAAAGAAAACTAGTGTTCTTTTTGAGTAGTTATGCCATTAATGCCTCTCTAGATGACGACAGGCTGTTTGCCCCAACTTCCGTTGTGAAAAAACAGCTTTAAGAGTTACAACCCCTTGTGCCTTTAGACATGGTTCGGTGACATGCCATATTAAGTAGTGCATTGAAAGTGCCTGGCTTTTACACTGTTGTTTGTCTGTATGCGCTGAACCACAATATCCAGTCTTTTTGCAGTGTCTGTAGGTTCTCTGTAAAAGTGCCATCTGGGGGCTCCACAGTCCCCGCTGAGGGACTCAAATGAAGTTTTACAGATCACTCTAATCACAATGACTAATGTCATTACTAAAAACCAACAATTTAGCACTATTTGTTTTTTTTTTTTTATCTAGACACACCGGAGCCAACAGAGGACAATGTTTCAATTTAAGCACAGCTGAACTCCACAACCACTATTGTGTGGGAGGCTCCAACAAGGGAGTATTAAAACGAAACAGTGATTTATACTTCTCAGCTGCCTCATAATGCTGTGGCCTCGCGATTGTTCACAGTGATAAGTGAACAATTGTTTAATACCTCACAGTAGAAAGCAGTTGTTTCTCCGGGGTATCATCAAAACATATAGTTTCGTGCTATTTTGTTGTTAGTCTGCACAATAGAGAGACTTAAGCAGCGTGTGTAGAAAGAGGAGAATAAACTATAATGCAGATCACTATCCAGATTTGACCAGGGATGTTGTATTTAATGTGGCATGTGTCCAAGACCCCCAGGGTTTATTTCAATACAGTGGAAAATGAAAAAAAAAACAGTGTTTCCGCTGTCATGTGTCGTTTGGCTCACCCTCTTTATGAAGTTATCTTATCTGAGTCAGAACTTTTTTGTTTAACATAACTGTTTGAAGATAATTATCTACTTGTGTGCTTATTATACTCTGATATTTTCTCCATAGATAAGCCCAATGTGGTGATGAGTCACACTCCCAGTAGCTCTGCGGAGGGGTCTCCTCACAGTTCAGGATCTTCAAAGGTAATACCAGCAAATCTAAGCCAGTACTGCTCTTAGAAGAAACATGTTACCAGTAATAAATTTGCACCTAATCTGACAGCTGGGGAAAAAATTCAGATAATGTGAGCTACAACGAATTGTTACAGAATATAACTACATGTGCATTTTCTAAGCACTAACCAGCAAGACAACTGCAGCTGGCTCCATAATGTTTGCGGCCCAAACAAATAACACACATCAGTTATGGTCCACTCTTTCATGTTGTTTAAAATGGACATTGAACAAGAAAATGTTTACAATACTCAACCTTGTCAATCCAAAAAATACATTACTTATATTGGGATAATAACAAGTGGTGTAAAGGTGACTTGAATTGAAACAAAATGAGGACATTAATTGCACCACCATCAACTTACATAAACGTCCTTAAGTCTTAAAGTGTCAAGATAATCAACAAACGTATTATTTGTAGTCAGTGTGCCAAAAACAGGCCAAAACATCAGCATGTTATTATAATTAACAAAATGTATTTTTGCTTCATGGGCATTTGGGTTGTGTTTTCTCTAATTGTAGGTGTAACAGATTGAAGTGTTTGTGCCACTGGTTCTTTACTTTGATCTGGCTGTCAAGAGCCTGTAGTCAGAGAGATCCACTCCGTATACTACCTCATTCCTGTTTATTGTTGACATGCGGCATGCATAATGAGACACACACGAAAACAAGAACTCAACACCTGTAAGAGTACAGAGTTGTCTCTATTTGAAACACTTTGAAATCAGAGCCAGTTTCTAAACCTGTTGACCTCGGCTTTAACCCTTAACCTTTGGCCCGCCAGGAAAAACCTTCAGCATCTGTAGCGGAGTCAGAGGAGGTGGCGGCTGCCAGCATGGAGCCAAAGCTGACACCAGAGGAAGACTTCAAGGCTCGCCGGTTGGAGGCCATTAAGGCTAAGGCTCTGGAAATTGAGAAGGTAGTCAGATTTGCGCCATGAAATAGCCTGACTTCTGAGAAATCATGTTGCTTTGTTGGTTGTGCTACAATTTCATTAACCATAACTATCTTCACTACCTTTGTTAGATCTGCACCTTCCTCCATTAATCGTGCTGGGTCTTTAATATTCTATTAAACTTTTATTTCTTAACTAGACATCTAGTGATATTTTATTCCCTTAAAATCTGGTATTAAGGTCAGATTGTCTTTCTGATTTCTTTAAGAGATATTTATGACATAATAATGGAGCATTTTATTTTATTGCGTCTTTTGGTAAGGGTACTGACCCGTGACAGTCTTATACACCACACCTGACAGCCTTTAATATCCCAAGTTAAAGTGATCACACAGGACTTAGGCACAAGTCGGGAAATATATCGTTGGGCGGTTGATGAAACAGTAGTCCACTGTGGCTGTCACACATCAGACACAAAACTAAAGATTCTAAGGGGTTCACCTTACTGTGTGGTGGCCTCATATTACATGTCTAGGCTTTACCCTAATCTCATGGTGGGTTATGTATGTGGATAGCCCTTTTAAATTGGCTTTATGATGTCCCTGAGAGTCAAGGGGTTGATGTGGGAGGTGTATAAATGTGTGTCTTGGCTTGCTACACCTAATATTTGAGAAATGCTGTAGTTGAGAAACTTTTTTTTTTGTTGTAGAAAAGGAGGATGAGTCAGCAGAGAAGTCCATAGCACTTCAGGTTGTGACGCTTCTTGTGGCCTGCTATTTGGAGTTGCACTTTTTCCCTCCCCTTCATCACTATGAACTACAGTACCACTTATCTGTTCCCGTTAAAGCAGGGCAGGAATTGCCCTGCAGGATGCAGGCGGCCCACCCACAATGTGGTACATCTCTTGGCATTAGCGCACACATGGCTACCCTGCCATTTCCAGCTGCTTCTACAGACGTGGTGAGAGGGAGAAACCTCGACTGCGTCTTTACTGTAACATCTGCCCCAGGCACAGTTAAACACACATTGATCTGTCGCTGTTGTGGATAGCCAAACTGAGCATATCAGGTAGTGGACAGCTTTTTTGAAAGAACCGCTCTCATCAAGTTAGTGTAAAGTAAGTCTGTCACATGCTCCAAAAATGTAATTACTGCGTCTTTTTTAAAACATTTTATTACCTAAATTGGCCTTTTCAGCAAAGTCTAAATGGTGTATATTCGTCCCAGTTCTCATGGGGCTCATTTAGCCTGAAATGGATTGGTTATACCAGTAATAGCTCATTGTTTTTTCAGCCGAGAGCTTGTTGTAATACAGACTATATATTGATATTTAAAGGTTTTCAATGAAATCTAAAATCTCAAATGAACTCACTGGCAGTTACCGTCCCTGCTTGTCATAACACTTTACTAAATTTCATTACTAGTATAATGACTAGCATGCTGTTGTTTTGTACATCTTAACCACAGTACCTTATTCTGGTTTTTGTTTTTTTTTTCTGATGCAACATATCAAATCAGAGCATTTAAAATAACAACCACAAAGAAACTTAGAAAATATCCTTATTTCAATATCACAATGTAGCTAAATGCCTGGGAGTGATTTTCAGTGAAGTCCATTCATCATCTCAATCAGCACAAATGAAACATATCCATTTCAACTATTAGCCCCTCCATTGAGAGGTCCGGTTTGCAGCTTGAGTGATTAAAATGGCTCTTTTAATATCCCCTAATGTGTACCAGCCCTCAAGTCATTACCCTACTTCCCTTATTATGGAGGACCCCTGCCTGCATCAGCGCTCATTTGAACAGAGCCTCACTAAATGTCCATGTGAGAGCCGTATGTATAATCTCACTCAAACTCCTAACTTCCCAGCCCCCACTCAGTATTCCAGCGCACACTCCTGACGGTATGTTCACAATTTGGACCTCCACAAACATCCGATTTGGGCAGAAGCCCACTTTTTAGGGCTCCTCCTTAAGGCCCCTAGTGTTGCTGCTTCTCTTGGGGCTCCGGTCCATCCTGTGTGGCCCCATAGTATCAGGCTTAAAGATCAGCACATGACTCCCACTTCAGGGAGGGAACTTAAGCCAAACCTCCTTGCAACCTTTTTTCTAATAACATAAAGAGCATGCCCAGGTCAAAAGCACTCTTCCTGTTTGTTCAAGTAACGTGGGATCAGTTTTTACAAAAATAACAGACTATGTGAAGTCACTCCACGATTGTTCAGTACTGCAATTAAGGTAGCGCATTCTTCACTGCACACAAATTTACATGTAGTCTGGTGCACATGACAGCACACACTCTTGATAAGAAATCTCATTCATTCTGAGTTCATTCTAAGGCCACTTTTTCCAAGCCTAATTTGAAACTGGAGTGAAAATGTCAATAAAGGCTGTCGCTTGGAACAGCATAGGAAGATGTTGTGGTGAAAAATAGCAAAGATAATGAACACTTACGTGATTAAGAGGAGTTTTGGAAAATAGATCACATGGTTGTGTGTCATAAGCCCATCTTTTATGTCACACCTTAAAACCTGTAACAGGTGTTTCTTCTAAACAATGCTTTCTTTGGTAATTTTTTAAAGAAATGAAAAGTCTTCCCATGAGGGATAGTGGTATCCTTTTTGAATTTGGTTTGCGTTCTATTAGGATTATTTAACAGTTGTTTTTAACAGCCTGAAAAGGAGCAGATCATACTGTGTGGAGACAGAGAAGGAAACATACTTTGTTGAATAAAGTTGACCCTGAGATTAGCTGGCCACACGAGTCGTGAGTCTCGCTTCCTTGTGGTCGTACTGAAGGCTACCATTATGTGAGGCCGCAAATTCGCTTGACATGATCTGCAGACATTAAAGCGTCCTCCAGAGTCCAAACATCTCCCACAGTCTGGGATATTTCTGTCAGCGTTGTCTTGACTGGCCTTTCCCAAGTGTGTGTATGGGAATGTACAATATATGTTGTGATCCTGTGACAGTAACCTGTACTGCTAAAATAATCAGCCAGAACATTTGATACATTTTCCTTGTAGCTGGAACAAACATTGTTTCAAATTCATAGACTGTAGCACAGAAGGTTAGTCAGGGATACACGAATGAGCGGACAGGTGAGAATCACTCTCTGAACATGCTGTAGCTAGTTCAGTAAGGATTATCAGGAGGAGAGAGAGGAATGAAATAAAAAGGACTAAAGGGGCTGCAAGCATTGCAGTTTTTTTTTTTTTTATAAACAACATTGTAATTATGAAGAACAGCATAAAATGAAGACCCTTAATTTTCTCTCACCAACCTTTGTGTATAATTTTACAGTTTCACATAACCTCATATAGTCTAACATACACAGTTGTGCACCTGGGATTTTTTTGTCGCAACAGGTACTGTCAGTATCCTCCTTTTTAGACACTTCTTAAAATGGGACTTTTGTTTTGCCTGAAAACACAGTGAAAGGTTCCCATGTGGTAAACTGTTTCTATGCTTATTGTTCCAGGCTGAATGTCATATTATTTCTGGTTTCTTTGACCTTTTCTATGTGTTTAAAGCCCCACCCAGCTCACCTCGCTTTCAGACTTTGACTGTGGCAAATGTTTTGTTTTTTTCCCCCTCATGTCCTCCTTTTCCCTGTCAATAATATTAGTAAAATATTTGAGTAAATCATATATTGCAAACACTTTGCTTGCACAAAACCTTCTTCAAATTCTCATCAAGTAATGATAACTCATATGACAGTGAATCACTGCACAGATTAATGGATATGTGATCACAAGTTAGCAAAGACAGATTGCATAATATGTATCTAGGCGTAGGAACAGCAGTTGTGGCTTTAAATTTCCCCATAACTGACAGAAGCCTGGAATAAAGCTGTTTAACCGGTTAACCTCACATTCTGTTCAAGCATGGATGCTGATTTAAGTTGACAGGCAGCATTTTTCTTTTCAAACTTACCAAAGCTGATGACTTGTGTTTTATTGCATTTAACTGGCAGTTAATAGGAGATCAGATACCGTCAGCTATTTTTTTTCTACAATGAAGGCCTACAGAGCCCACGTTCCTAAAATGGTTATGTGGTCTCCACATGACACAGTTATAGTACCTCTTAAGACGCTGCAACTGTTTTCATTATGTTGAAGAAGTAGGTCACATCTTAAGACACAAGATAAGACAATTGACATGAGAAAGGTACTAAAATTAACTAGACATGATGATGAATATATTGTGGGATACACTATGATATCTGTACATGTATTTTATGTCATATAAGCCTGCTTGTGTGTAGACATTATCTAAGAATTGCTACTTGATCCATCGCCTCCAGAGGGGAAGTTTTAAGCCACTGAAAAGTATCCTGCGTGCCCCAGTGACTCTAACTTGAGGGGAAAGGTGATAAGGGCTTACCCTTTGTGTACTCTGATGTCCAGTACTTCTTTTGGAGAGGCTAGTGTAGCCTTAAACCTCTCAGTGCCTTCAGTAAAACGCCCTACATTTAGCCTTTTTGCCCCAGGTGATAAAGATGTTGTGAGTTTGCACCTGGGACTCTAACAAAGAACTTAACAGCCGTTTTGGGTCGGCAGTAAAATCTGAGAGGGATGTGAGAGCTTGTTGCAGTGTGGTGTGAAAGAATGCTACAGCACCACTAACATACTCTGACACCTCGTGTCCCTTTTGTTGAGAGTGGACACTTGAATAGACTCCCATACACACATTCACACACCTGTTTCATGGAATATGCCAGTTTACCAGATCTGGGTTAATTAGGTTTGAAATGAGGAGTCGTAGATTTCAAACAGATGTCAGACGGAGGTGCTTACCTGTGTGGGAGGACTAATAAATGTATCACAGAATTATACATGCATGCATTTTCTTTAACACCATACAAGTTTTTTCTTTCTGTTATACAATTACACATCTTCATTTGCAGGGTTTCCCTTTTTATTACTTTTCAACATTGAATCATGGTTCACAAAATTTACAAGAAAATGACTCATGCCAAAATGAAAACAGATTTCCACAAAATCATGTCTGTTAATTAAAAATCTAAAATGTAAAATAAGCATTTGCAAAAGCATTTACCCCCAGCAAGTCAGTATGAGATTCACCTTTGGCCCCAATTACAGCATTGAGACTTTGTGAATAGGTCTCAATCAGTCTGGTACGTCTGCACTGCAGCGTTACTCAACAGTTTTTTTTTAATTTTTTTTTTTTTACAGAACTGCTCAAGCTGTCAGGTTGCACAGGCATCATGAGTGAACAGTCCTTTTAAAGTCCAGCCACAAGTTCTCAGTCTGATTGAATTCTGGGCCCTGACTCGACCACTCCAGAGCATTCACTTTGTTGTCTTTAAGCTAAACTAACTCTGGCTGTATGCTTTAGGTTATCGTCTTGGTGGAAAACCCATTTTCTTACAAGTTGCAGTTCTGTTGCGGACTGCATTAGGTTGTCCTCCAAGATTCCCCTACAGTTTGCTGCATTAATTTTACTCTGTACCTTTATAACCAGAGCCTGCTGCAGACAAGTATTGGCACATCATGATGCTGCCACCACCATGCTTCATGATGGAGACAGTGTGTTTGTGATGAAGTGCATTGTTGGGTGTCAGCCAAAAAACTCAATTTTGGTGTCACCAGACCAAAGAACCTTCTTCCAGTTGACTTCAGGGTCTCCCAAACGCTTTCTGGAAAACTCTAGTCAGGGTTTGATATGAGCTTCCTTCAACATGGCTGTCTCTATGCCATTCTTTCAACTGGTAAAGAGTGTAACTGGACCTTCCAGATACAGGTGTCTTTATGATACAATGCTAGAGGAACATCAGCTGCATTCAGATGATCTCCATTTCACTAATTGTGTGACTTCTAGCAACCCACTGGCTGCATATGTGTTGAATTACGGAGTCACTTTGAAGACGCAATCACTTATTTTACATTTTACATTCTAAATGAATTGACATTACTTTGCAGAAATGTTTTCACTTTGACATAAACAAGTTTATTTGGTAAATTCTTGTCAAAAAAGCCAAATTAAATTAGCCATGATTGACTGTTGAAAAGCAATAAAGGGGAAACCATCCAAAGTGGGTAAATACTTGTATTAGGCATTGTGTGCTACACATGCAGGAATGTATGACACAACCTGCTAACTTAGATTGAGGTGAAGTAGATTTTATTTACTACAAATATGTGAAACACGTTTTGCAAACCCTAGACAAGTTATGATCACTGTATCTTCTTATGAATCATAAATATGATTTCTTGCCATTTTTAGCCAAAAGAGCAAACATTTATTTTTGGGGAATCTCAAAATAACAAATACACAGATTTTTGGTGTTCAGCCTAGAAAATACAAACAAATGTCTGCTTATAGATGTGTAAACATTCAGGACTAAAGAATCTTTAATGTATCTATAATGTTTGTTTGCTTTTCTACAATGTATACTTGATTATATCATCATGAATATTGGCGCTTCTGATATGATTGTTTCATGTGCAGCATTACAGGCAGGACTGTGAGACATTTCGCACAGTGGTGAAGATGCTGGTGGACAAGGAGCCCAGCTTGGATAATCTGCTGCAAGCTCCTCTAGATGCAAACCTGTTGGACATCAAACAACACTGCCTTGATGCCCTTAAAAACTTCATGAAGGAGCTGGATGAGATATGAGAGCAGCTGTACACAACAGCAGAAACCCCACATCACAAAACGCTGAGGTGACAATGTAGAGTATTAACACAAATAATTTATCCAAAGTTTTTCATTTTTCATTTTTCATCATGTCCTTTAGTCAAATATTAATGATTGTGATTTTTATTTTATTATTTTTTTAATCAAGTATTATAAACTGAAGACAGGATTTCTGGGAAGGTAAGGAAGATGTGTTAAGACGAGACTGAGTTACTGATAAAATGGATATGTGGTTACAGTGAAATACTTTTTGTATTTGAAGTGAAATCAAAAGGACCTTTTTGGACTGAGATGCAAGCGTTGCAGTTTTTATTAAAGACTCAACAAATTAAGTTTGCAGCTTCAGCTGCATTTTTTTTGACAATGAATCATGTTGACAAAACCAGCTAGAGGCTTGGTTGGTTTTATTATTGAATCCTATTGATGATGCACTGCCAGAGAAATTAGTGAATCATGAAACTAATTTAGTGACGTGTAATAATTGTCCTTCCGTTCTTTGCTTGTCTTGCCTTTATGATTGCAATTGCTACTGATGCAAACTTAGAGATAGATTAATGTCTTTGAAGTGGAGTTTTATGAGGTACTTACCCATAGCCAGCGTCTTACCTACAGCATATTATACCCTGCATGCTTCAGGTTTTTAAAAGCAAAGACGACTGCTGGCAGAAATGCCAAGTCTACTGCTGTTATCAGGGTCAGCAGCAAAACATGTGTTAGCCACCTAAAAAGACATCCACCCTTAAAGAAAATCAATATCCATTTAAGCATACACTATATTTAGAATATTCCCATAGCTTTACCTCATCATCGGACAGCCCTTTTCTTTAGCACTACATTTTGTCACCCATGGAACTTCTGTATTCCTACTCACTTGCGTAGACAGCTGCAGGAGTTCCAGGGATCAACAGTAGGTAATACAGTGGCTATGAATAGGTACTTCATACAACCCCACTTCAAAGAGAAACACAAGTATTTTTCAGCCAGTATTGAAGGGTCCAACTCTATATGGTATTTTATCAGTGCAGTGCTATTTCATACAAAGGAGAGTGCATTTTATACATCATATTTTGTCTTATTTTAAGTTTAAAGTGAACTTCTGATGAATTCTTTCAAATCTATTGAGAAACTTTTGTAAATAAATGGTGTGGCCTTAAAAATAAAATGACCCCCCCACCCCCACCCCCCCTTTTTTTTAATGCAATATATCAATTGAATACATTTGTGCAGGAAGAAACACAAATCATGATATATAGATATTTTTTATTACAATTATCATCTATCTTTGCCTTATATTCCAGTTTGTACATTTATACAGATTACAATGATTTGCTTACAATACAATGACCCATAAATACACCGCTCAACCAAGCAATTTAATTCACACAGTGCTTTCATGTTAGTGCCGCACAAGCCAGGAAGAAAACACATTTGAAGAGCTTGGGTCACAGTCAATTTGTCATTATATTTCTGACACCCTCATAAAAAACAAGTCTCCATACCGACTGTCAATAGTTTACTGTTAATGCCATTTTGGTACAAAGCATGTCAAGGGTACAAAAATAGCCGTTTTGTTTTTTTTGTTTTTAATTCTACAATATATACATAATATCTGCACTGTTAAATAAACACAGTTTAAATTGTGTTCTATAAATATGCATTATTCTGAAATACTTTACCGGCAGTTTGTAATGCTACAGAAGCAAACACCTATGAATAATCAGAACATGAACTTGTGTTTTACACAAGCACCTTCGTAAATTGAGTGCTGTGAAGCATGTAATAGCAAGCAGACTGTTATTGTATTTTAAACAGTGAACATAAGAGGCAGAGGTGAGTTTCAGAACATTTCCTAAAGCACAAAAGTCTAGGAAAGTCTAGGAAATTATACAGTTTTTCCCTTTGTGACCTTTTTTCTTTTTGGACTTAGTCCATTGGCCATAGGGAGGAGATGGCATGCCTGCCACTGGGCTAGGCAAGTCATTTGTGTAGTAATGTCTGTGGGGTCTTGGCTGAGGAATGGGTTGACCTAAGAAAAAGCCTTCCTCCTCAGAATCAGATGAGGATGAAGAGCATGTGGAACACCAGTCGTCATCATCATCGCCATACAGCCCCAAAAACCTTCCCATAGCTGGGCCCTGTAACCTGTAGTCTGACATGGCAGCAGGATTAGGGTGACCATGGAAGGCCTGGTGCTCCTTGGGACCGAGGGCATTCCTTCTATGGTCCACTTTGTAACACATTTGGGCCCTTTCCTTGGGCAGAAGGTTAAGAGCATTGTCAGAGCGAGACTTGCGACTGCGGCGCCTCCTGTGGTGGTGATGATGGCGACCAGAGTGAAGCTCTTGGCCCTGTTCCTCAAAGTGGTACACTCTCCGGCGAGTCCGTTCACTCATAGGGGGCTGACGCACTGGAAGATCGCCATAATGGCCATTGTCCACCACATCATCAGAGAATTTGACTTGCTGGGGCCTGGACTGTGAACGTGTCCTCCTGAGGGCAGGGACATGAGGTTTGGGTCTTTCCTCCAAGGGTGCTTCCTCTTCTTCAGGAACATTCTCCTCCTCCTCCTGCTCAGATGCAAGACTTTTCAGGGAATTTGCACTTCTGTGTAACATAGAAGAATTGAGGGTTCCCATATTACTGGTTTTCTCACAGTCTTCTGTCTCCAGTTCATGAAAGCCTTGCAGGGAATATACCAAGGCTCTCTCTTTACTATCACCATCTACAGAGGCCCCTGGAGAGGAGAGAGAAAAAATTCAATAATGCTTGCAGATGAACTCAAGAGTCAGTTTTACAAACCGACCACTGTTGGTACAAAAAAAAAGTTTCAGATCTGATTTACTGAATTCTGTCTACTTACCAGTAATATTGGAGAGAGCAAGTGAGTCCATGGAGTCCCGGACACTTTGATCTGTCTTCTTGAATTCGTCCGTGATGCACTCCAAAGAGTCAGTGTACCATTGTGGTTCCTCTCCCTGGAAACCTCCTCCAGCCCCATGATCCAACTCCAACTCTTGGATTTTTCTGCTACTTGCTGGGCCTGGATGACTGCCGTAGGCAGAATCCCCTAGCCCATCCTGTGACTGTGCCCAGTACATGTCAGCCTGGTACTTTTTACTGGCCAGACTCCCCCTTCCTCCTGCTCCAACACTGCCAGCTTTTGAGGACTCCTGCTTTGACTTGGTATCTTTTTCAGCAATCCAGAAGTCTGTGGGTCTGGAGTCATTGGCTTGTTGGAAGACACCATGTTCGCCAAACTTTAATAGCAGCTGAGTCATATAGTCTTCATGCTCAGCCCACTCCTCCTCCTGGTCCTCAGGTGCCTCAGTCTCCTCACCACGCTCCCTCCAGAAATGCTCATCAGATAAGTTCATGTGGGCAAGCTTGTTGGTCAGGGTGTCATCAGGGTTTCCACTAAAGCCAGGGAACTTATAGTTGACAGAGGGAGAGAAGAGGAGCGATTGTCGGCATTGGTCAGCTGAGCGACTGCTCTTGCCCATGCGCACGCTGCGGCGGGATTCACGTGAGCGTGCTGACTGGAAGGCAGAGTCAGAGGAGTCAGAGGCATGCACGTCTTCCCCAAGACTGCAGGCCTTGGAGCAGTAAATACGACCCTGATGTGGCAGGAAGGGGCAACCCAGTAGAGAGCTCTTACACTGGGCACAGCTGAAGCAGCTCTCACTGGCATGCCAATGGAGCCCATCATAGGTCATCTGAGCATGATCAACACCTGGGTAAGGGGAAATGATGATACAGTAAGCCACACATACAGTATTTCTTGATCTGAGTCATTAGGCAATCATGACCGGTGTAAAGAGAAACATGATCTTTTACCAATGTGTTCCCCGCAGGCCTCACAGTACTCTGCATAGAGAGACTCAAAGCAGCCACAACAGTATGGTCTGCCGTCCTTCATGATATAACGCTGGCCACCCAGGATTGTCTCACATTCAAAACAGGCGAAGTGCTTCATGTGCCAGTGGCGCCCCTCTGCCTCTGTGCATTCATCAGCAAAAATGATCTGGGGACAAAGATGTACACTGAATGAGACTAAACAGTTATATTTTGCCTTTCTCACTGTCAGCGATCTTTATGTTCTTACTGGATTTATTTAAGTTAGTGGAGACATATGTTATTGCTATTCCAGAGGAATAGGCGATAAACTTAAGACATTTTTTCCTTCACGACAATGTTTTTTCTCAGTATTTCAGTCTTGCTGTTTTACCTCGTCACAAGCCGAGCAGCGTGGTTTGAGTAGCTCAGCATGGTGCCTTCCACAGTGGATCTTTCCGTCGTGGTAGAAGTAGATCAAATCTACCAGCATTTCACTACATGTGGAGCAGGCAAAACATGCCGGGTGCCAGCACAGCCCAGGGCTCGCCCTTGTAGCAAACACTGCCATTTCTCCACCGTTGATGTTTTCACCACACTGCAATATACAGACACGACTGCTTAAAACATCCTGAAGTCACTCTACAATTGCACATTCGCTGTAGGTTATAAATATATTCTACAACAAAATCATGTGACTCCTGCAAGGACATAGGAACTGTATCATTTGTATCAGCCTTTGTTGATGAGAGGACAAATATGTGTCTTGTGTGTGGCTGCATCAGGTTGTCCTAACTGCAACCTGTGACAGATTCCTTTTCCTGTCTGTCATGCTGACCTATGAAAATATCAACGATAGTGACTTGGGATACAATACGCCGTTCAAAAAGAGAGGCGAAAAGCTATCTTCGAGAAGCACGAGTCACCAGGTTTATGGGTACCCTTTGGTGGCTAAACTATCATTGTAAATACGAAGTGAAACACTGTACAGAGCGACACCAGCCTAAGCAGCAGACAAAGACTTTTTAGTCTGTGTGGCTACAAATTGTACACTTGTGTTTCTCTTAAAAACCATAGCTGACACTGAAGTCTTTATTTCAGCTTTTCCTCTGGGTTTTAGCTAAAATTGGATCCACATTAGCCACTACCCATAAAAGAGATGCACAGAAAAAGTTTGCAAATCATTGTCAATGCTGTTGTTAAAGAATGCTTTTTTTTTTAAAGCATATGCTAACTAGCGCTTTCATTTTGAACTGACTTCTGTCCTCTCCACACTGTAAACGATACATACAAGACAGTGAACGTACATGCTCACAAATGCTGTTCAGAAGATTGCGGGGCAGCAGTTTTACTGTGCCCCTCCCGAGTGCTTCCTTCTTCCTCTGGACACTGAACATATGAAGCTCCTTCTTCTCCTCCTCACTGAGGGACTGGCAATAACGAACCTGAGAATGGAGATGATAAGTTATTTATAAGAAGGACAATATACCAATGATTACTTCTTTTTCAAGTTCTCATACCAGATGTGATATAAATTTCACTTCAGTGATTCAATTGCCTTTTTTTTTGTTTGTTTTTTTTTAAAATATATTATGCTCCTTGAGAAATCCCATAGCAGGGCTGTTGGCTGCTAATAAAGGTTATAAACTTAGATAAGTATGAGATAGGGCAAAGTGCATACCAGAGCATGCTGAACAAAAGCAACTCTTGACCCCAGCTTGCCCTTCCTACACCCCCCAACATATCTCCACCCTCGGTCCCTGATTGAGAACCTCATTTTTACAACGGGCCTTTTTGATGTTTCCCAAAGCCTTAACAAGAGGGAAAGCAGACGTTTACACAAACAAGGCCTGTGTTTAGAGTGAAATCAAGAGGACGGGCAACAAAAGAAGAGAGACAGCCAAGTCGGACTGTGGTGCCACTGCGGTGGTGGCATCACATAAAGCCTCTTTCAACCAGCATCCCTCTCTCCCACTGAGCAGTCCTCGTAAAAACCACTGCTATGACAGGAATCCTGCTGGTGGGGGCTCCCGGCAAACATCATAAAATCATCAAGTCAAAAGTCACATTGTGCCCACTCTACATGTCTACAAGATTGTGGAACAAAAATCCCCCAGTGTGATGTCAACGTGAATGCCAAGGGCTCACATTAGTGGGATGGCATGGACGTGGTGAGGCTTTCACACTGAGGGATTAGTGGGCTGCAGATACAACTACTCCAACAAAATGGATAGTGGATCTTTCCTGCAGCTGCTGGATCAATTTTATGATACTTGCATTTACACACATGCACAGAAAATATGCTCACCTCATTATCATGTGGTGGCAGTTGGTAGAGGAGCTGCTT